CTTCAAGATATTCCGGGACAGTCGGTCGCTCTCATTTTCTTTCTTTATTTCTTTCTTTATCTTCCTCTTCCGATAACATTTACACAGCTAATCTCGCCACGTGGCAGCTCGAGGGGTAAACAGCCCCGCCTGTAATGGAGCAGCCTCAACCTAAATGGCTTTGAGACCCCACTGTGAAATTTCGTTCTCTGCAGACCTCTGTCCTGCCTCCGTCCTTGTCTCATCCCCATCAGCGAATCACAGCGTGCCGTCACAGACAAACGAGAAAACAAGCCTTTTATCTGCACGCACATCACTCCTGCTGCAGTGGCGCCGAAGCGGCGGCTGGCGTAAATCTGGTGGGTCGAAAAGGCCAAAAAGTCCTTATTTCTAAACCACAAACATTATTTTTATTTCATCACAGACGACTAATCTTGTTAATCATTTACATTTTTTAGAAACTAAATTTTATTTGTAAAATTAGTATCATCTGAATGCATTTGGGACTCACTTAGGTGTGATTAAAGCACAATGAGTGGAAGCCAAAAGAGATTTGGACAAACATCTCAAAGCTGAAGAGAGACCCGGTGACTTCTTCCTCCTTATTGTTTGATTTGGTAAATGTAGAACCTGGTCTGCAAAGCTTGGGAATGTCTTATTTGAGCAAAGACGTTATACTGTAAAGATGAAGGCCGTTGAGCGTCTCGCACACTGCAAACGCAAACCAAGCGTCACGACTGGCTGCTCAGAGCACATCATTCAGTCCGTGTAACTGTACGCACATTCTGAATATGTTAACATCCTTATTTACTCAGGTAGTGTATACATCTTGCTTCGGTAAACTGAGAATAGCAACAAAAACAATATCAACAGTTGATCAACTGCTGTCAAAAAAAGTCCAGGATCCTTTCTTGTTCCTACTGTCATTAATCAGGAAAAAGACATCAGACTAAGCCAACGTTTAGCAAAGAAATGTGAAATGAAAATATTGTTTGATTTATTACCATGGTGGAGAATACAATACATTTGATCCACTGGCCACCACCAGTGCATCATATCGTCCATTAAAAATCCCGTCCGACAAAGCAGCATTAACATATCCATTGGCCATTTAAGGACAGCGGAACAAGCTGTAAACACAACATGCACACGTTCATCACCTCACACCAAATGCAATATTCACTCCCCTTATTGCTCTGGGCTTGTCAAATCTAATATCAGAGGGAACATCCGTCTCTTCAGCCACTAAAAGCTCCTTTTTGTAAGCTGGTCGCTAACTGTCTCTGCCTGCTGTGCGGTCGGTTTATCGAAGCTAAACAGGACAGAATCATTGAAAGCGTTGATGCTGACTGCTGCTTTGTTTGGTTTGAAGTTGCCGTAACTCACCTGCGAAGCTAACAGCTAACATTAGCATTATTACTTTGGTCATCCACATAATCTCAGTATCTGCAAATGGCAGCTCTACTCTTAATCCCCAAACTCTCCCAATTCCTTTGAGAAAGAAGTAGTTTTTCACGCTCGTCGTTGTCATGCAGTTTTGAATGGTAGTTTAAGCCTGGACCATATTGAGCCGATGAGGTTCATCACTCCTCTGTACCGTGGAGATGGATGGATCCGGGCCGACAGCTATCCTCATTAGCACTAGCAGGCGGGAGTTAAAGCGGGATAGAAGGACGGGGATCACGCCGCCCCCGTCTGGCTCTTCGGGGCTTCGCCTTCGCCACTCGCACTGAGCTGAAACCAGACGCCGGCGGCCTCGGGGATCGAGTCTCTTTAACGGCCGTCCCAGCGACTGCCGCCGGTCCTCGTTAGCCCGCTTTTTTGGGGGGGCATCACGGCCGAGAACATCTGTCTGTGTTGACCGGGTGTCCCGGTGTGCAGGGCGTCTGTTTGTGTCAGGATGGCACACGCACGTCTTGTGCGTGCTGCGAGGGAGAAGTTCTTTAAAAGGACTCGCTTCTTCAGGCTTTTTGTTCTGCCGTTGCAGTGTCAAGAGATCAGATCTGCTCTGCTAATTTTCTGCTGCAATCTGCTCCTTATTTTCTGCACACCCTCGGATCGTGTACGTAAGCTGTGATAAGTCGCCTTTAATTGCCTCTAAACACACTGAGGCGACAGAGGAAGACCTGGATTGATTCAGGGTCCCTGTGACATCCGTGAAGAGCCGAGGACCAGTCACCATGTCGAGGTTTAACGCTCTGACGAGGCCCCTTATTCTCCTTTTAATGTGATTTACAGAGATTAACACAGACACCCTGTCACCACATAAAACCCTCTGACACAAATCTGAAGAGGCAGACGAGGCAAGGCGTGATACACACCGTGGGGCGCTCACATTTCGACTTGTTTTAATCGGGACTGAAATTGACTTTGGAGACATGAAATTGATTCTGTTCGCAGTTCGGACACGGTCATGCAATCCAAAAGGAAGGGTCATAGATAAAACATGGTAGTTTGTATCGCCTGTGAGAGAACACCAGTTTAATGATCTGTAGCCACGTCCATTTAGACACAAAAGTACTGTCGAGGGAGGAGGGGACGGCTGTAAAGCATCCGGGACGGATCCCTCATGGGGTCCCGTATCTTGGAGACCTCCGCTGCTCTGCACAACATCAAGAGGGATTTGGTTGCCATGGCGGCAGGTGGTTTGACTCGGTCTCCGTAAAGAGAGAAATGTTTCACAGAGATAGAGGGAGAGCACGGTTTGTCCAGGCGGAACAAGACGATCATTGGCGGTGTGGATTATAAAACCTTGAGGCGAGACATTCTAGATGGCAAAAAGAAGAGATTTTATTAAATCACATCGGCCAGCGGGTCTTCTGCTGGCAAATGTAAACACCGCAGGTGTGGATTTATGGGCATGTCGCAAAGTAACCAGCTTCTGAGTGTTCTACTTTCTGCATCACCGTTAGACAGGGATGCTGAAACATGCTGCAGGCCTGTCACAAGATAAAACAGCCAACAGCTTTGATCAGTTTTAAAGGGGAAAACCAAGATATTGGTGTTTATTTTGCACTCATTTTCTGGTCGTCTGTCAGAGAAAGTCTTTCAGAATACCATTTAGCTTTTGCATATGTCTAGAGCCCAAACTTAAACCTGCTTTATTTTTCATTCAGCTCATGATTTTACTGTTTTTTTTAACCCTCATCGCTTGCATCAATTCTATGACACAGTTTGATGACACAGTTAGCGACCAGCTAGTGGGCAAAGTGGATCATTTGACAGATAACTAGCCAGTCAGTGTTTGTATTCCTCAGGAGGTTGGAGGACACACTAGAGAGCTGAAAGAAACCTGTGTGATGAACAGATCTACAATCGATGGACTGATAACCCATTTGGAAAAACAACAACCCGCATCATTTAAATGTCGAGCAGAGTTGCCTTCCAAGGATCCGAGAACCATCTGTGACCAAAGTGAGATTTCTGAGAAAGCCACTTTCTCGAGTTTGTGCACGTGACAGTCTATAGTGTATCTGCAGGATATGGAAAACATTTCTCCCAACATGAATTATGAGGAACACCCTGAAGCTCTGAAAGATGCCCATCCTCTTTGCTGCCAGCAAACCCAAAGCCATCTGTTCCAGTTCTGCAGGCAGCAGCTTCAGATAAGAGGTCAGAAGTAAGCAGGTGCCGTGATGGAAGCCAAAGAACAGGACCACGGGCCACATATTGGCACCAATATCACCGGCGCTTTCGATTGGTTTCTAAAAATGCACCTTTTTTTCCCGACAGTTTGTATCCAGGAAAGATGAAGCAGTACAGGGTCAGCAACTTCTGAAGTGATGGAAATTTGACGGGAGTGAAATGATGAACCCCCTGTGATTTTTCCATCAATTTCACAATAGCCTCGTACGCCCGAGTTGACACGCTAGCTTCACCACCGCCGAGGACAGATGATTGCACTGGAGGTCTGTTATATGGCGGTTTTGGAGCCATACAACACCAATGTTGACTGCAAATGAGAGCTGATGTCTGCAGGGAGGAAAAGCTGAGTGGGTTTCTCGAAGACAAAAAAACTCACCATATTTTCTGGTTTTCCCATGGAAACCGCAGCATCGCCATCACTGCACATCACCCTTCCTGTGTGTGTGTTTGTGTCAGAGTATCGAAGACTATATCTAGCTCCACGTCCTCCCTGGCCACTGGAAAGCTGAGGAGTGTGCAGGAGAGGTTTGGAGCTGCAGAGGCGTAGATGCACTGCAGCCCTCTCAAACGCCTCCCTGCCCACAACAACTCGGATTCCAAAATAGCACCTCGATCCACATCGCAGGCCTGCTGCGTCTGTGCTTCACGGCCGCCATCTATTAAAGCGTGACTCCAATATTAGCCGTACCCAATGATCTCTGTGGCCTAATGGTCTCTGTGGCGCCTGTTGAGCTGTCAGAGCACAGAGAGGGGAGTGTACACACGCACACACACACACACACACACACACACACACACACACACACACACACACACACACACACACACACACACACACAGTGAAGGAATCTGCTATGTGGAAGCTCAAGAGAAAAAAGGTCGTTAGCTAAAATCATGCCAGAATCACGGCACGTGTACATTAATTCATTTTAAGGATTTTAGAAGGAGTTTCCAGTTGCCAAAGGAGGCCTGCTCTTTGATGTCCACACGTGACCTGAATTTCCAATAGAGCTGCTTTCCGACACCTTTGCGCACCGACACGCAGCACCCAGTTCCCGGTTTGGAGACGTGCGCATTTTATAAAATCTGACTGAAATGTGAGATGCAGTATTGTGGAGGATCTAAATAACGTATTATGTTTTATAAAGCGTTCACTTAAACCCACAGAGAGAATACATCCCCGTCGTTCTGTGAATCTACTGGAGGCGAAGCGCAACTGACAAGATGCAGCGCACATTATTTGCAAGGCGGACTTGTTGCTCAGCGGATGAATCATCGTGAAGAAAAGCTACATACACGCACAGACACACACAAACATACAGAGTTGCACTGGCGTATTAAGGTTTTGGCGCTATCTTTATATTTTACGCACGTACCTTGTGCAGTTTCCACATCGCGCCCAAAGCTTTGACTTCGTGCGTGCCGTGTTTGCCCTCCTCCAAACACTGGTAACACACGGGCATCTTACACTGCACACAGTACATGCTTAGATTCTCCAGTTCGTGCTCCGTGCACGTGGAGGTCTTGCGGGGACTCGCGCGGCGACTTATCCGGCCCTGCGCCGGCGGCACCAGGCGATGCTTGGCGAGGGGACCGCGGGGAGGGTGGCACCGCAGGCGGCACGGGTCGCAGTAGAAGACGTCGCACTGCTCGCACATCACGGTGGCCTCCTTGGGGCTCTTCTCGCACAGCTGGCACTTGAGCGCGGCCGCTTTGCTCTGCTGATACCGGTCCACGACCCCCTCCAGCACCCGGTTCTTAGCGAATCCGCGAAGCCCCCGCTCGTCCAGGATGAGGCTGCGGTGACACTGCGGGCAGGTGATGCAGGAGTTGCGGGGGATCGGGGGCAGCGAGCCGGGCTGCGGCAGCAGGTGCTGTTGCGGGGCGGGCTGCGGGGCGGCTGGGGGGAAAACCCGCACCCCGTTTGGTGATTTTTGACACGGGGTGGTCGGGGCGCTGACGAAGCCCCCGTAGGAGCCGTACCCGCTGTCCGCCTCGCTGTACAAGCTCATTTTGTCCAGATCCAGATAGTCGTAGTCGGAGACGCCGGATCCGGAGGCTCGGCTGCTCCGCGGGGACTCCGCGTCGGGGGTCTGCACGAGGATATTCCGGGCACACGCCAGGCAGATGTTGTGGGAGCACGGCAGTATGATGGGCTCCCGGAAAAAAGAGCCGCACACGGGGCATTTCAACTCTTCCTCCATCTCATCCATGGCGGCTCCCTGGCGGGTGAGAGATTCCACGGCGGGATGCGAACGCAGGCGGGGGAAGAAGTTCCGGCCGAATTGAGGCTCTGCTGCTGTCTGCGCGTCAACGGAGCTCCGGTCGCGTCCTACTGCTGATTCTCACCGCCGGCGCAACCTTGACCGGAGGAAAACGCATCAGGCTGAACGATGCGCGCGGGCGCCTCCGCCAATCAGCGACCGGCGTCGGCTCAGAGCGGGCCGCCATTGGCTGAGCAGTGGATTCCAAGCAGCCATTGGAGGGCGGAGCTGTCAGTCAGGAGAGGTTAGTGCGCTTTAGGGAGGTGACAATAGATCTGTACACATAAACCAACATGGGGCCTAATTGTTTTAGGGGATTAGAAAGAGGAGAATGTGAAACTATCCGGTCAATGCAGAGCATGCAAATATAATAATACATAATTTAGACTTAGCATCTTATTAATGAACCGTGATTTGTTGTTTTGTGGGTGGAATGTAAAAATGTCAATCACAAAATGTAGTGTTAAAATCGAAATGTAAGATTAAGATGGTCATTTTATGTTTAGGTTATAAAAGAGAGAAATTAGCAGCAAATTTCCATCAGAGAAGCTGGAGTCAGTGTTTTTTTGATATTTTGTTTGATAAATTACTGAATGACTTTAACTGAATGACTTTTGCTATTTTCAAAACAGACAAATGTATCACATTTCTGCATTACAGAGCTGTCAAATAAATAGATTGCAGTAAAAAGAACAATATCTAAAGATAAAAATGCGCACTTTAGGTACCAATATGCAAAACTCTACTTTCCCCATATTTGACTGACAAAAGGGACAGACGATTTTTAGTTTTTTGTTAAGCCAGGATCTGAATAATAAAACCTGTGCAGCTTTGCAGAGCGGCTGCACTGTATATAAACTTGAAGGATTTGTTCTGTTTGTTATTTGAAATAGCTTCTCCCAGCTGCTGATGGAGCAAAGATCACTCCTGGGGGAGATTGAAAACATGGAAACTGACACCTTGTGAGATAAGATAAAGCAGCGGCTCTCAAAAGAGGTTCTTCTTTCAGTATCCAGAGCCGCTCCATTTCTATGGCCAAATACCTCCGTCTTCTCCCAGAGATCCATGGCAACGTGAGCTTCCAGCGAGGCCGTTGACGGGGAAATCGAAGGAAACAATCTCATTTCACAGAAGGCTTTCTCAGAGCCACAGAGGGCAACGTGAGGCCACTCGATTGATGACATTTGCATATTTGTGTGGAGCAGTTTGAGAATGGGTTTCAGTGGTTTGGACGTCTTTGTCTAATGAAGATAATCACTGCATCAGATTGTAAGCTGACTGATAAACATCAGGTGGAAATGCAAAACATCTCATTGAGATCTCCTAATCAAAGCAAATGAAGGAATTTGATAATCTGGTAACAGGCGTTGGTATTTATCAATGCATGATCCTTGTGCATGCGTTCACATTCCCACCATCATTAGATATAATAATCATCTATAAACATGCTGTGCTCCTGATTCCTAATTCTGCAACATAATATGAGAATTAGGCGTTTCATTTCTATCAGAGCAGTCTGTGCTGACAATCCTTCTGCTCCTAATTCTGTTAAGATTTGAGGAAATATAAAACAAATGGCAGGTTTATCCCTGTAAATATTCCCCCGGATTTAGCTGAATAAAGCGTTGATGCAAACCAAATGTTTGTAACGAGACCATCAGCTATTTTTGGATGCGCGCTAGCTGGCGCCTGCAGCAGGATGACATTGTTCTCTGTGTAATCTCCTCAGTTTGGGGCCACACTGCGTGATGTTTCTTTTTCCTGTTTACCGCCTTCGAGTGGAAAAGTGGCCCATTCTACTGAATCTGTATTTCTATCATAGTATCTGTATCTTTTTGTGTTAGTTTTTATAAGTGCCGACTCTCCAGGGCAGACACACCAGGCGGCACTGAGCTGAAAATCTTTACAGATTTCTCTTTGCTTTCCCGTGATCACATCCCGGAATGCTCCGCAGGTCTGTGGCGGAGTTGGTTTTTGGTGCACAAACATGGAAGAGACGTTATGGGGACAAATGTATCAGTAAACACAGAAAGTCTGTGGGGAAAATCCTTAGTGGTTCATATTCATGTCACATAATACCATTTATGGTATATAAATCTATAACACATGATATTTTTCATAGATATTACATTATGATCTGATATGGAAACACTACTATAAAAGCAGAAAGTGTCATCCTTCTAAAGCTATATTGTGCAATCAAAATGTATTTCATAATGACAAGTTAAAACAACTTTAAGATAACCTTGAGTTTATACATCAACATTAGCTCCACAATAACCACTTTTACTGATACTGATAAGACTTGAATGCAAGATAGTATCGTTTCTATAAAACGTCAATAGTTGCACATGTCTACTATGTTCCTGTGAAAAAACTTTAGTTTACAGAAATATATCTGCACTTGAAATGCTCACGAAGGCCTCACAGAACCTTGGATACCCGTGTGTCTTACACGCCAGAGGGAAAGTGTCAGTAGGAGCAGTATTCAACCCTCCGCTCGATCTCACCTGATTTATGGGAGTCCTCCGCTCCATCGAAAAGAGATCTCTGTGTGTTGCACTGAGTCTATTAACTGAAAGAACAGACCTCCTCTGCAGCCCAAGAGGCATCAGCCTGCTTGTGTAAAGAAGTGCACAGACTGCAGGAGCTTTGCAGCACACGACTCCGGCTCGATATGAATCTCCCCGGGACACGGCGCTGATATCGCAGAGACACGGACAGAAAATGTTTTTTGTTTCTGAGCTTCGCCTGAAGAAAAGTTGTGGTTCTGTAACTCTCTGAAGGACAAAGCCGCTGTAATATTGAAGATTGGTTGGTTATAGAGGGTCCAAAATCCCCGGAGAAAGGAAAAGTACTTTCTCGCCGATCTGTGATGTTTCTTTTGTTTTGAATTAAGATAAAGAAGTTGAATTTAAATGACTTTTTAGTAAATGAGAACTGCCAGCAGCATCCTGCTACGAATGCATGTTAATTCTTTGCAGAAAAGGTTTTTTACGTCTTCTCACTGACCACGGCAATAAAGTATAGATACAGCTTGTGGCAAACAACAGTTGTTGATGCTCGTAAGAACGAATCACAGGAAAACAATATGAACGTAAACATTTGTGTGTTATGTAGACTGAAGCTCTCCATGAAGATATCATGATAGAGGTTCAGGTTACAAAACAGAACACCTTGGTTATGTTTTTTTTTTAAAGATTGTGGTTATAATTAACAAAAGACTTGCCACACGTCCATCAAACAACTAAAGTACAACTTTACTTTTTTCATTGGACAGCTGATGTGCAGCATCGTACACACGACCCCCAAGGATATTGTGCTATTTATATCGTTTTTGCAGTTGACAGAGTTCATTGCTTTATGCAACCTTCAGAAAGTAATTAATCGTTGAAAGAACATCACATGCGCATTCACCTCGCGTAACCTTTCCTTAAACAGTTCTCACGTTATCACCATCTGCTATTACCGCTCTCTGCTAACAAAGGCCCAAAGTCACTCTGCTGACTTCCTGACGGCATCTTGCAAAACCTTAAATTAACTTGTGTTTTATAATTCAGCACCATCTGTGTCCTTCACAGTGACCCGAAATATGCATTTTACTCCTGCAATATTTGTAAATTGGGCCTTCAGGGCGAAATTGAGAGAGGTGGCTTGTAATTTTAAGTTATTATTTCTTAATTCAATGCGCTCCAGAATGAATTTCAGGGAGAGGGTCCTACTCTTGTAGGGGAAACACTGGGAGTGTGTTGAAGATAGTGTTTTGGCCTGTTTTTGGCCTGTTATTGCCGTCTTGTAGAGGAGATCTGCATATGAAGAATCCCAGAATGGTGCGTTTCTCAGCCTCTGACTACCTCTCTGTGCCATGTTGTCAGCGAAGATACACAAAGCAGCTGAAATACATTCAAGTGCTGTAATGTGTGCTGGCCGTCTCTCTCCCCCTCCTTCTCTCCGCACACAGCCCCCTCATAAGAGCGACCAGGGCCCAGAAAACAAGCCAGAGAACAGCTAATAGAGAGCAGCCTTAACAAAAGAGCAATCGTCCTTTTATGCATTTGCGGGCTGAAGAGACATGTGAGGTCCTCCACATGCAGAGTCACCGTCAAGCTCTGCAGGGAATCTACTGCAATTAATTGTACACGAGTAGGATTCACTAAAGTTCAGCTTTGCTGGGGACTCGCACAATGGTCTCCTAAGTGTTTGACATAGAATGTTGATGCTAAAGGAGTGGTGTCCTTTCTAGGCTAAACACAAAGTCAGCATCGCACTGATGTTTCCATAGCCTTAGCCTTATTCTACTAACCCATTGCATTAGCATTTCATTCCACTTTATTTTATTACTTGTGCACTGTTGTCTTGTCTGTCTACTGTCGCGCACTAACCGCCGAGACAAATTCCTTGTATGTTTGACATATTTTGGCTAATAAATGTTTCCTGATTCCTGATTCCTGATTGAATTTGGGATCATTATTATTGCAGGAAATATGCTTCATTGGCAAAGAAAAGATACTTTTTATCCAGAAAGATAATTGTTTGAAGTGTAACTATGAACCAACGCTTTGGTCTTATTTTAGCTGCTTGTTAGCAATCAACCATTTTCAGACATGGAGCTTCAAAACCTGGCAGGTTTTTAACCGTAGAATACATTCAAATATTTTGGCCATTCAACAAAAATAAATAAAGAGACACTCTGCCTTTAAGTCCTCATATGCTGCCTCATTCTTTTAGGTCTTATTCCTGCTGTTTCCAGTGACACGCATTCACTTAGCTTAAAGCTCCAGTGGGATAAAGCGTACATTGGTAATTAAATTAGTGGAGCTACACTGAAATTCATCTTGAATAATATTGCTGTCCAGCTCAAGACATCATTATAGAGCCATTTCCATTGACCAGCTCCACCACTCCCCATCTCCTCCAAAGACTTAATGTGACTCAATAATCTAGAAATGTCGAGTAGTTATAGCGTTGGGAAATGGATTCCTTATTGTTGCTTCATGGGCCTCCATCCATACATTCAGTCCCCATCCCGACCCCCCCACCCGACTGACAGAGGCCTCTCTTGGTACT